ACCTCTTAGCCATCATCTCCCAATCTCTCCATCCCCTTCCCCTCTCTTGCCCCAGCCCTAGGCAACCGCTAATCTACTTTCAGTGTCTATAGATTTGCCTGCTCTGGACATTTCACATAAATGGAATCATACAACATGTGGTCTGTTGTGACTGGCTTTTTTACTTAGCATAATGTTTTCATAGTTCATTCAGGTTGCACATGTCAGGCTTCCATTCCTTTTTATGTCCGAATAATATCCCATTGTATGCATATATCATATTTTGTTCATTCATCAGTTGATAGATATTTGAGTTGTTTCCACTTTTTGTTTTGGGGTTTTTTCTTGGCTATTATAAATAATGCTGTTATGAACATTTGTGTACAAAGTTTTGTATGAACATATGTTTCAATTCTCTTTGGTATATATCTAGGAGTGGAATTGCTGGGTCACATGGTCACTCTATGTATAACCTTTTGAGAAACTCCCAGACTGTTTTCCAAAATGGTTGCACCATTTTACATCCTCACCAGCAATGTATGAGAGTTGCAATTCTCACCAGAGGATTTTAAGCCCTCCAGGAGAGGGACATGATCTAGTTTTTTAAAAATCCCACTGATGTCTGTGGGGAGGATGGATTGTAAAAAAAAAGGCAAGATTGGAAGCAGGTAGCATCCTTGACGGTGGCTTAGACAGGAACTATATAGCATGGGGTGGCAATAGGACAATTTGGGGATATATTTGGAGGTGGCTGCAACTGTTAGAGAAAGGGATCTTTTCTTGGCTTTGGGGGTGCAGGAGCTCTATGGACTTTCTAAGGATCCCACCGTGCCAGGCTAGAAGGGCGGGCCAGCCTGCAACACAGCCCCTGTCTCCTGCCTAGGAGCTGAAAATCCTGGTGGACTACGACGAGAAGGGTTACCTCCTGCAAATCTTTACCAAACCCATGCAGGATCGGCCCACACTCTTCCTGGAAGTCATCCAGCGTCACAACCACCAGGTATGGCCTGTCCCTAGCAGGCCCGAGAGGGCATGCAGGTAGCATGATCGGCTTTCTGGGTCCCCAGCTCACCTCCTTTCTCCCACTCCAGGGTTTTGGAGCCGGCAACTTCAACTCACTGTTCAAGGCTTTCGAGGAGGAGCAGGATCTGCGGGGAAATCTCACCGACTTGGAGACCAACGGGGTCGGGCCCGGCATATAGGCCTCTCGCGTCGCGTCTGACCCATTGAGGCTCCGCCCACCTGCAGGAGCAGGGCCCAGCCCCCTGGTCCTGGAACACGGCCGCTTCC